GTGGTGACGGATTAAGAATACAGAGTGTCACCACCCCTATTCATCCCGTGGGTGGGTGTAAGAGCCGACTAAGGGAAAAAACTAAGCAGGCCAACAGCACTGCAGAGAGAAGGAAAACTTGACACAAACCCTTTACCAACCCGTCTGGCCAGCGTGGTATAGTAGGCCAAAACCTCCTTTCTAAGGAGAGGCCTATGTCCAGCAGTGGACTAGACTAGCCTATACTAAGTATAGGCTGTTGATGATACTAAATATATATATACTGTCCTGTAATGGAAAACCTCCTTTCTCAGGAGAGGCTTATGTCCAGCAGTGGACTATTAAAGGCTGTTGATGAATAATATCTTTGCGTAACATCTAGTTAATCTAATTATTCACAAAAACAAAGAATTACTCGTAAGCGTTTTTAATTACTTCACGATTTGTAGTATAAATGCTAATCTATGTACAAGAGTCTTCAACATAACACTATATATCATAGATAAAAATCACGATGAACTTGTAAAATACCATGAAACAGTTGCATTATAATATCGCCTTTATTTAATTGCGATAAAGTTCTTTATTGAACAGAGTGTTAGTGAATAAAGCATTTTTATTATGAATTTAAGTAAAATTCGTCACGCTCCGATTTTCTCAAAATATATGAGAGCCTTGAAATTTTTTATTTCCTACGGTTTTGATATAAAGGCGTAGAACAATACATGCACAAACACATAACTTCAACATTCAAAGAAATACCAACAAAATGTTTGCTAAAGTGAGTTAAAGGCATTGCAAATTATTTTAAGTTGTTTCCAAAGCATTTTGACCTTAACATTATTACAAAAGTTATTGCCCGTAGTCTCAACTTTATTTTCACTATTCCTTTCTTAAGACTTCTAGCGTAATAGGACCTACACATCTTATAACGTTTCTCATAAAATAAGCTAAGACTTATATAATACAACAAGAAAAGGGTTTAAATGCTCTTCTTTTATTAATATTATTTATTGTTTATGCACAAGTATGAGCTGTACAATGGCGGACTTAATGAAACAGGCATTTTCTCCCAGTCTACCTTAGGGTAGTGCTAAAATGTGTGACTAGGTGCACTAGACAATGATATGTAAAGTAGAAGAAAATTATTGAGAAGTTAGACAGAAACAGAGCGATAAATATACATACATACATACGTACCAAATACACACACATACATAAATACTTACCTAGTTACATACACACATAAACCTATAAAACTTTAAGGTTGTAATGAATCTGCTAAGATGTCTAGAATGCGAGCTCGAAATTTTATCTTGAACGAGAGGCGGCTGGGTGCTATCCTGATTTCTAGAGGGAGAGCGTTCCAGAGGAGAATGTATTGGATTAGGAACGAGGAGTGGACACAAGCGGCAGTATGAGTGGGGCATAGCAGAAGGGGATTGCGTAATGAACGGAAGGTTCTATCGTGGTTGGAACACAGAAATTGGAATTGGTGAGTTGAGAATGGATTAGAGCCAGTTCAATCGCGACGAAAGGAGGAGACATGGTCGTATTTGCGAAGGCTAAAAACCAATAGAATCCAGTTATTCAGAAGGCGGTCATATTTATTGAGAAGATCTGCATTCAGGTTTATGACCTGAATGCAGATCTTTCTTTCTTTAGCATCATCGTCAACAGCTTTTAACAGTCTTCTGCTGGACATAGGCCTCTCCTTAGAAAGGAGGTTTTGGCCTAATATACCTTCGGTGGTTATGGTGATGGGTATAGCGGCTACGGTTGATACTCTAGGGGACACGCTGGATACGTCCACGCCCCTGCTACTTCATACGTCTCTAGAATAGACAACAATGGCCACTACGGAGGTTACAATGGAGCCTGGAACGGTAACAACGGACTCGGTTACAACAACCTCGGTTATGGCTACAACAGTCTCGGTGCCTATGGTGGATACGGCTATGGCGCCTACAACAATAGTTGTTACGGTGGATACGGATACAACAACAGATGGTAATTCATCGAATATGTTGATAATTAGTTATGTATAGTAAATAAATAATTACGAAAATGTATTCCTTTTTTATTATTAATAACAAGTTATTATAATCTTTAACTTTTATAAAGATGTAAGCAGTTAAACATAGAGTGATGTTATAGTCCTAGGTAGATGAATAAAAAATCAGTCTGAAAGATCTAGAAATGTAAAAACAAAATTTAATATTGAGGTTGGAATAAGTACATAAAAGTGTACCATATTAACCAAAATAGATATCTGCTACAGACTAGGAAATACTGCATTTTATATTTACAAAGAAGGCCAGTAGTTAAGCAATACATATACATAAATTTAATATAATATAAAAATACTCAAACGGGTCTAGTACCCGTTGAGGCTGTTCTGCCAATTCACTCCAAAGGAGATCGCGTCCTTTTGCCTTGAATGTAAGGCGGTTTGTGGCCATCCGGATGTTGGCAGGGAATTCCAGAGAAGAACTGACTGGACGAACAGAAGAACAGAAGGAGGAATTGGTGCAGTTGGAGGAGTAAGGGGGGGCACCGAAGAAGCATTACTGCTTATTGACCGAAGATTTCGGTCATAAGGAACGGAAGTGGGGTACGAGGTATTCAGGTAGCGATGGAAAGTTGAGGAAACACATTCGGATGTCGGCAGGGAATTTCAGAGAAGAACTGACTGGACATAGAAGGAGGAATTGATGAAGTTGGAGGTGTAAAGGGGGGGGCACAGAAGAAGCATTACTGCTTATTGACCGAAGATTTCGGTCATAAGGAACGGAAGTGGGGTACGAGGTATTCAGGTAACGATGGAAAGTTGAGGAAAGAAAAAAGTTAATTCAGTGCTCGCAAACTGCAGCCCATTGCAGCTGGAAACCCAAAGCAGACACATGGTCATACTTACGAAGATTGAAAACGAATCGAATGCAGTTATTGAGAATGTGATCCAGTTTAGTGAGAAGGTCTGATTTCAGGTCAAAATAGCACACATCATTACAGTAGATTAAGGGAATTATTAAGGACTGCGTACAGGATAAGCGTAGCCTTAGTTTTAGCGGGAAGACAGTTTTAGGCGATATAAAGCGCGGATACAAGTGATGACTTTCTGGCTAATGTGTGTAACTTATACCCGCCAATCAAGTGTCGAGTCAATATGTAACCCCAGGTTCTTTACCACTACACTCAGAGGTTATAATCACGTTGTTTTGGACAACTAGTGGGATGACCGCCATATCCAATCTACTTAACCTTTGTTTGCTGCCCACGATCATCGTTGACTTGATATTATTGGACCCCCTAAACTGCCTTTGGAACTATATAATTGGTATCAAAAGTAATCAGATATAGAGGGTTTTGTTTCTGAGCCGAAAGTCAGTCAAAGCACAATTTGTAACACACGGCAAAATTTCCATCCTCATCACCTGGATAGTTGGCGCTCCACTACTATGCGCTTGTCTCGAAAAGCGCACAGTAGTGGAGCGCTTTTGTACTTTTGCCCCGCACAACAAATCTGTGGAACGGGTTAACGTCTGCGGTATTTTCGGACCGATACGACCTTCAAGAAAAGAGCGTACTCCTACCTAAAACGCTTTTGTGACTCCTGTGTTGCAGACGTTCATGGACGGCGATGATCACTTTTCATCTGGTGACCCGTCTGCCCCCTCTAACATAAAAAAGCCACAAGTTACGAAGTGGCTTTTTTATTAACCACTAATTAACAACCTATACTTTTATCCAGAAACACAATGAAAGTGGAATGCACTATTACTTAGCATAAATAAATTACAAGTATTTGAATCGTTTAAACATGAGAAAATATAGGAAGACCTTACCACAAAAGCGGTCCATATTAAATGCATTCGTATAATAGCGGTTTAGCGGAAGCGGAAGCGGTAGGAGAATATTTCCTCGTTAGACAAGAAATTAGAAAGAGATACCCTTTATCACCTCAAAATTTCTTGCTAACCCTAGAACAGAACAAGTATTTTCAAACCTGACGTTGACCTGACCTTGACCTATGGATATCAGAAATGGAGTTGCGAAACTTATCAACAGAGAATTGAAAGAAGCTTAAAAATAAAAAATAGGCTAAAATAATAATAAAATAAACCACAATTAAATCAGAAAAATGAGCCAAAATAGTTACGAAATGGTGCCCTTTTCTTATTTTTTTTGTCTGTGCGGAAATCCCCTCGGATTACCTTACCGGTGGCAATGTCGAACTCGAACCTCTCAGGTCTCAGGTACCAGTAGTTGGGGAACTAGGTGTACCTTAGAAAGTAAATCCCTGGTGCCCCAACGTACCTCGGGCCATCAACGGACCAATGACCCCCCTGTGTGGGAACCCCGATGTTCCCTCTGTGACCCCGGAAGCTGGCCTGCTTCTGCTAGGGTGACAGATAGCCTCACCTGTCACCCCCAAGTCTGCGCTTATGGAGGACGGAGGCCATTCTGCGACCTCCGACGCCTGAGCCGTCTGTGGTACCTGGCCCGTTCCCGAGCCTGGCGGGCCGGAAGAGTTCTAAACCTTCCGGTCCAGCTCCGCCATCTCCTTTGCAAGCATAACTTGCTCGCAGAAGGAGACGGCAGCATCCTGTTTAGTACTGAGTTACAAAATGAAGTATAACTTATAAGTTTGTTGTCAAAGTTGAAATATCAATGTTTCATACAAAAAAAAATTGACATCGTCTTTTATGTATACTCTAAAGTCATATATCAACACACACAATGTCACCCATGGACCCCGGGGGTTCATTATTTTCCTGTGCTGTTCTTCTGTTGCATTCACTCTTTTTTAAATACAGGTGGATAAGTAACATAATAAATTATTATCTAAATATAAAGGTTGGTAAAAGTGTATTAATATAATAATTAAGTTTTATTTTGCACGCTATTACTTTTAAAATAGGCAAGAACCTTGTATTTTTTCCCACGGTTTCAATATAAAAACGTTGAACGATACATGCATAAACACACAACTCTTCAACATTCGAAGAAATACGCACAAAATGTTCGCCAAAGTAAGTGAAACAAATGATAAATTATTAACTTTTACAATCTTGCACTATCAAAAACAACAAGAATATAGTCTCAGGATTATCGTATATCAGACCGAAGAAAGGTAAATCTTCATTTTTATTATTTAATGAGGATTTTATTTTTTAATCAGATTTTCGCCCTCGCCGTCTGCCTCTTCGGCCTGGCCCATGCTGGAGCTCTCTACGCTCCTGCTACCTCCTATGTCTCTAGAATAGACAACAACGGCGCCTGGAACGGCATCAATGGTGCCTGGAACGGCCTCGGAGGTGCCTGGAATGGCGTCAACGGTGCCTGGAACGGCGTCAACGGTGCCTGGAACGGCGTCAACGGTGCCTGGAACGGCGTCAACGGTGCCTGGAACGGTGTCAACGGCGGCTGGAACCGTGTCAACGGTGCCTGGAACGGTGCCTGGAATGGCGTCAACGGTGCCTGGAACGGTGTCAATGGTGGATACAGCTACGGCGCCCTCAACAGATGGTAATCTACCGAATGTTATGTGAATTTGAAATTATGAGTAAAATATAAACAATTACGAAAATTTATCATATTTATTATTGTCAACAAATTACCCAACCTTAAAAATAGTTCTATATTATAATAAAGTATTATTAGTATTAGTATTATTAGGAAGAATCATTAAAACGGGTCAATCTCAAAACTGTGACATAATATTTAAAAAATCAGCTACTATAGAATTTGCCATTTTTTGTACACTGTATGTGTTACTTTGGCCAATAGCATTATATCTAAGTATATGACCAATCTTAAATCAGCCTAACAGTATCAGAAAAATGATTAAATGGCCACAAAGAGGAGTCGTATCCATGGAGTTAGAAGTGAAGTGCACATTTCTTAATTCGTTAATTTCTAACGAAACAACAACATCACATCAACAGCATTTAATAGTCCACTGCTCGACATGGGCCTCTCCTTAGAGAGAAGATTTTGGACTACTGTACCACGTTAACCAGACGAACAGATAAAAAAAGGAAGAATTAATGTTTTTTTTTCGTTACACTGGCAGGTTACATTACTTTTTTTTAATTTTAGGTTTAATTTTAAAATGGAACATTAGTCGACAGTCATTTTTTTCTTTCGTTTGTTTTAAATTATCATTCATACATCTCTATCGACTGCTTCGAAATTGATTTTCTGTTTTCGTAAAGTACGTAAATTTCATTAGAAAAACAATGTATTGCAGTTTTATGAGGCTTTTGTATTTTCTCGCATATTGATCAGTTAAGAGCATCTAAGTATGCCTAATTTAATACTATTAGAAATTATTGGGACAGATGAAATGACAAGAAATGGTAAATCCGATATCGATCGATCCGATTGTCCGCTACAAGACTTCGTCGATCGTTATCATCATCGTAGCATCCAATGATACAAATTGAGGAATTCACTAGTAAGGAGGAGAGGACAAGGCAGGTAAAGGTGTACCTGAAGTAGAGATGACCGTTTTCGACAACTTCAAGTTCGTCGAAACACGAGACTAAAGGCGGTGCAGGCCCGAAATGTATTGGAAGAGGTGAGAGGAGTAAGAGTGAGTGAGCGGACAGTTTGCAAAAGATTCAAAGAAGTCGTTATAGGCTCATTTGTGCCGGCCAAAGCACTAAAACTTGAGAGACACCACCGCACAAACCGACTATACTTTTCTCGTGAACATCGTCATTGGGACTTCGACGAATAGACTCAGGATATCTTCACTGATGAATGCAGAATTCTGTTAAATTAGATTGATGGAAGGTAGCAAGTAAGAAGACGTAAAGGAGAGCGTTATATTCAGTCTAATTTTGAAAAAAAAAAACCAGTGGCATATGGTGGTGGCTCAATTATGGTTTGGTTAGGGATATATTATTATATTGATTCAGGAGCTCGCACGGATTTGGTGGTGGTGGTTCAGAAGAACATGTTGTGCCATTTGCCCCCTCATCGGCAATGACTTCATTCTAAAGCTCGGGCTCACAGTGCTCGCTCAGTACAGTATACCTAAACCATGTTGGTGTAACGGTGATGGAGTGACCAGCAGTGGGACTTGCTAAAGAGGACTGTCAAATCAAGAATACCACCTTGAAGAATGGCAGAGGTCGCCCCAAGAAATGATTGTCAACATTATGCGCAGAATGCCCAGACGGATGGAAACCATAATCAGAGTACGGAGGGGCAACCCCGGGGATATTAAATTATTATTATTATTGACGACCGGATGGCATAGTGGTTTATGTAACGGACTGCTATTCCAAAGGTCGCGGGTTCGATTCCCGCTCTAGACAAACATTTGTGTGCATGAACATTTAATGTTTGATTTGGTCTGGGTGTTTCTATGTATAACAAGTATGTATTTACAAAAAAAAAGTATATATGTATTTAGATCAGTTGTCTAGTACTCATAGTACAAGCTCTGCTTAGTTTAGGACTAGATGGCGTTGTGTGAATGAAGTAAAATATAGTATTATTATATTATATTATATTATATTAAACATTCAACAGAAGATAATAAAAGTAAAAAAAGACAGTATTTAAGATGACCAGATGAGAAGGGATGTGATCAAAAAGGTGGAAGTCAAGGTTTTAATCGGTGTGGAGAACACTTGGAGAGGCCTAAGTTAGAAAGCAAGACAATCGTAAAACAGCGGATTAATGTTTACATAATAGATAATAAACAAAAATATCCTTCATAGTACTGAGTAACAAAATGAAGTATAACTTATAAGTTTGTTGTCAAAGTTGAAATATCTTTATTTCAAAAAAAAATAATGACATCGTTTTTTATGTAGACTCTAAAGTCATATATCAACAAACACAATGTCAAAAATCTTTTTTGTCGGTCCAAGTGTAATAGTGATTGATTGATTGCCCATGGACCCCGGGGGTTCAAATGGCAAGATCGAAATATTTATCAAAATGAAACTGATTCATTATATTCCTGTGCTGTTCTAAAACACAAGTTTCCAAGGCGTTAAGACTTATGAAAAGAAAGGGAAAACAAACTCACTCACTCTTTTTTAAATACAATTAGATAAGTAACATAATAAATTATTATCTAAATATAAAAGTTGGTAAAAGTCTATTGATATTATAATTAAATTTAAATTCGTCACGCTCTGTTTCACGCTATTAAGTTTAAAATAGACAAGAATCTTGTGATTTTTTTTCCACGGTTTCAATATAAAAACGTAGAACGATACATGCATAAACACACAACTCTTCAGCATTCGAAGACATACACACAAAATGTTCGCCAAAGTAAGTAAAACAAATTATACATATATTATTAACTTTTAATAATCTTTTTTTTTACAAAATTGCACTATCAAATACAACAAGAATACAGTCTCAGGATTATCATATATCAGACCGAATAAAGGTAAATCTTCATTTTTAATATTTAATGATTATTTTTTTCTTAAATCAGATTTTCGCCCTCGCCGTCTGCCTCTTCGGCCTAGCCCACGCTGGAGCTCTCTACGCTCCTGCTACCTCCTATGTCTCTAGAATAGACAACAACGGCGCCTGGAACGGCATCAATGGTGCCTGGAACGGCGTCGGAGGTGCCTGGAATGGCGTCAACGGTGCCTGGAACGGCGTAAACGGTGCCTGGAACGGCGTCAACGGTGCCTGGAACGGCGTCAACGGTGGCTGGAACGGTGTCAACGGCGGCTGGAACCGTGTCAACGGTGCCTGGAACGGTGTCTGGAATGGCGTCAACGGTGCCTGGAACGGTGTCAATGGTGGATACGGCTACGGCGCCCTCAACAGATGGTAATCTACCGAATGTTAGGTCAATTTGAATTTATGAGTAAAATATAAACAATTACGTAAATTTATTATATTTATTATTTTCAACAAATTACCCAACCTTTAAAAATAGTTCTATATTTTAATAAAGTATTATTAGTATTAGTATTATTAGGAAGAATCATTAAAACGGGTCAATCTCAAAACTGTGACATAAAATTTCAAAAATCAGCTACTATAGTATTTGCCATTTTTTGTACTCTGTATGTGTTACTTTGGCCAATAGCATTATATCTAAGATCCAATCTTAAAACCAATCTTAGATCAGCCTAATAGTACCAGAAAAATGACGAATGGCCACGAAGGGCAGTCGTATCCATGGAGTTAGAAGTGAAGTGCACATTTCTTAATTCGTTAATTTCTAACGAAACAACATCACATCACATCAACAGCATTTAATAGTCCACTGCTCGACATGGGCCTCTCCTTAGAAAGAAGATTTTGGACTACTGTACCACGCTAACCAGACGGGTTGTAATAGGGTTTAAATATAGGCAATAATGCTATTTAATTTCCTTGTTGAGCACCGACAGTCGCATTGTTTTGTTTTGTTTTTATTGATTTTTTTCCCAATTTACTTATTTTGGTTACCTATTCCTTAGTGTAGTTTTTTCTCCCTCCCTTATTTTATGATATTGATGCATCGCACAAACATATATACTCGTATATATATATATATATATACGTACACAATCACACACTTGAATGGCTTCGAGCTGACAACACCTAGTCATATGGGCTGCAGCTGAAAACCAGCGTTGGAAGGCACCTGTGGCCATCCAATATTATGCTAAGCTTCAGACCTATTGGCACTTTTTGTAAGGAATTTGGCATGTGCCAATAAATTTTATTTATTTCTTTCTTTCTTTCTTTGTGTCAAGTTTTCCTTCTCTTTGAAGCGCTGTTGTTCTGCGTAGTTTGCTCTAGTCAAATACTCCATTAACTAAACAACAGTTTATAACAAAAACTAATCATACTTATGAGTCATAGATATGCTTGTGTTAATGATTTCTTGTAGACACTATACAGTGAAAATATTGTTTTTACGGCTAACTAAGGCGGCTCACTTTGATTTACTTGTGATTTTACGTTTTGAAACCATTTTCATTACGTGACACGACATTACATCCTTCATCATCTGTTCTAACAATAGACTCTGCAAGGCGTAACCCGCCTTGCAGAGTCCGTCCGGTCGATAAAGTAATAAGTAAATAAAATTAAGTCGCTATAATAAACCATAAAACTTGATTTATTTCAAAACAAAAAATAACTATAACCGAATAAAATCAATTAGTTTCGGAAACTATTCCAAACCATGGACATTGGTCTTCCATGGGGTGAATGACCGTAGAGCAGAAATTTTGAAACATATTTCGGCCGTTTTCCAAGATGGTTTCAAATTTGAGATTGTGAAATAGAAATATGCTAAAACGTCCATAGTTTATATTATAAATACGCTGGCAGAATTAGCGGAACACAGAAAGAAATAAAAAAAGGAAGAATTAATGTTTTTTTTTCGTTACACTGGCAGGTTACATTACTTTTTTAAATTTTAGGTTTAATTTTAAAATGGAACATTAGTCGACAGTCATTTTTTTCTTTCGTTTGTTTTAAATTATCATTCATACATCTCTATCGACTGCTTCGAAGTTGATTTTCTGTTTTCGTAAAGTTCGTAAA